GCACACCATGTCACTATTAATATACCACGGTGAGCAGTTTTTAGCTACTCTGGCCTCAAGAAGCTGCCCTGCACTGCCACTTTCTCTGCAGTCTTAGTCCACAGAACCCTAGTTCCCAGGATCCTACACTAGGATGAGCAGCCATTCTTGACAGCTTGCTGTCTTCAACGTGATACTGTGTTTCAGATTAAGGAGTTAGAAAATGAACTTGATGCTGAGCAGAAACGAGGAATAGAGTCACTGAAAAGTGCTCGCAAGTATGAACGAAGGTTGAAGGAGCTCACTTACCAGGTATTTCAAATCCTCTGCCCTCTTATGTGCATCACCTCAGTCCATCTTCCAAGGATGACTTGATTTTCACTTCCCACAGTCTGAAGAAGATAAGAAAAATATTTTCCGGCTCCAGGACCTGGTGGACAAGCTGCAGTTAAAAGGGAAAGCATACAAGAAACAGGCTGAGGAAGCTGTGAGTGCAGGACTCCTTAAATCTTTGTGGGCCCTGGGTGGAGATTTCCAAAAGGACTGGGCTCTCAAGTTCATTAAAATAATTGAATACTCAGTTTGATGGGGCAGCTACGGCCACTGCCTTTGAATATTCCTTACCTAGTAAAGACTTATGGCTCACAACGGAGCAGACACAGCTGTAATTATCATGGAGTTGTTTCACTTTTGGAGCCAGGCTAGCCAATTTGCCTGACTGGAACTGAGCAGGACAAATTGCTCTGTCCGCAGCTGACTGCTCATGTTGTTGACAGCACTAGAGTGACATGCCAGGAGTGCTGGCATTGCAGGGATGTAGCTGTGAGGATGACTGTATGACTGTAGCAGGTGATGTTACTGTGGGGCAGCCATAGGGTGTTCAGTTAATGATAACGGGGCAATGTCAGTTTGTGTCTACATCACTGATGGCACTGCATGACTTTCAGGAAGAGCAGGCAAACATTAATCTCTCACGATGCCGCAAGACCCAGCACGAGCTGGAAGAGGCTGAGGAACGAGCTGATATTGCTGAAAGTCAGGTTAACAAGTTGCGAGCCAGAAGTCGTGATATTGGAGGACAGGTGAGTTGGAGAGCTGCAGAGAAGGACCCTTCCGATGCAGCAAATGCCACAAAGATCTCTGCCCAAACACCTGGCAGCCACAGCTGCATTCCTCCCACTCTTGCACTGGAGTGTCCTCATAAAGGAAGGTCAGAAATTGGCACTTATTCCAAAACCACTGGGTTTTGAAAGTCCTCTTGGTGCCTCCCAAAAGATAGACCAGATATGATTGACTCCAAGAATCCAAGTCTTTCAGCAGAATTGGGAGATACTGGTTCCTTGCCAGTAATATGGCAGAACATTTGCAATAGCTACAGACCTGAAGCAACCCCACAAAGAATTCAATTGCTCCAATAACCTCTACATTATCTTC